GAAATTCCTAGTTTAATGGGCAAGATTGGTGGGCCGGATTAAAATACCAAACGGGCCAAATCCGGCCCTCGGCCCGTAGTTTGCCCAGGTCTACCCTAATCCATAGTACTGTTTGGACCGTAGGAAACCAGAGTACCAAGAACCCTGCGCCCCCAACAGACGCAGGATCAGTAAACAGCAGGGATCAAAGAGGTGATCATGTTGCTGTAACACGACAACACCAACCACTCTTGACCTACATAAAATCCAACATCACTAAACCAACACCTAGTGGTTTACTAATGCTAATGTGCTATGCTCTGGTTTATATAAATATAATCACACAATATAACTCCAAACACGTTCTCTGACCTCCTCCTGGAATGATGTCCCTCTCTGGGAGGCAGAGGCGATACCCCCACTCTCCTTCCAACACCTGATGGAGCAGCAGTGACAGTGACCGTTGGCTGACTTCATCCTCCTCCTCCTCCTCCTCCGTATTCTCCTCCTCCTCCTCCTCCTCCTCCGTATTTATGTAGAAATTAGCTGCTAACAAAGGAACGGAATAAATGTGTTGATAACAGGGTGTGACTTCACACAGAGAGATTCAAAAGTGAAAACGTTTTACCTTCTTTCTCTGGACTCCACACATATGAGAGAAACACGTCGAACATCTTCTCATCTGAGGAAAAAACGTTTGTATGAAATCCAATCTTGAGAGTTAGATATTCAAAAGACCATTTTAAACAGACATAAACACATGTATGTATAAATAAGAAAAAGATTTGAGTTGATTATTCTTACATTTCTATTTACATTCTAAAGTAACCTAAACCTGATTTGAGTGATTATTAAAAAAAAATTAAATTTTATATAAATAAATACGAAGGTAAAAGATGACAAAAAGATAAAACATACAATCCAATAAATACATTCAAATAATATAATTGTGTTTTTAAATAAAATAAATTGTAAATAACATTGAAGTAAAAGGTAAGTAAAGGCTGTTCACTCCATGATCTCCCACATTACATTGTTGTGAACCGATGAAATAGAACACAACAATACAAATGTAGCCTAATATTTTTAGCAGTATCGGAGACATTAAACCAGTAGTAGAAGATTACCAATAATCATGTATTATATTTAAATTAATGATAAAAAAAATGACTGTTTAGACTGTTCAAGCCTGATGCTTTCTACAACATGTGCGTGTGTGTGTGTGCGTTTGTGTGTGTGTGTTTTCTGACCTTCATCATGTCTTCCACAGTGAAAGTGGGATCTGTAGATAATCTGAAGCTCCAGTCTCATCAAATACACAATAACTCCCACCACTACGACCAGCAGCACAGATGAGACAGGATACACCACCAGTGACGGCCATTTGACTGGAAGACGTCAGAGTTTTAACACAATATCAACACAAATGGACACGACTAGGGCCGATGAATGTTAATGTTTTAGTTTAAAGTCTTATTAAAAAGAAACAGGGCAATGTAAATGTCACCTGCAGATAACATCAGTCTTAGAGCAATAGTAATAGCAATAGTTTCCCGCCCAACAGGTTCCATTTTCCTAGATATTTTGTATGTATGTAATATTTAATTGTATGAGAGTTCTGACCAATGGCGAAAAATTCGAGTTACGTCGCTGCCTGGAACTGAACCCCAGCGCAAGACCCCTTGTATATGACTTCACCAGTAGAGGGAGCACTATCCTTGTCTTTCCTCTATCACACAGTAAATGTTTCCCATAATTCATATAATCATTTTTGTGGTTAGACTGCTCACTTGACTGGTAAAAATCACTGGTTTACTGGTTCAGTTTCATGTCTTTCTTTATGGAGTTCGCATGTCCTCCCTGTGTGTATGTGAGTATTCTCCTGGTACTCCAGCTTTTAGGTCCATAAACTTACAGATTGAGGAGGACAAAACGGTCACCTCACCCTTCTCTTCAAGCCCGACGGTGACACTGACATTTCCAGCTGTGTTGTTGGCAAAGCAGGTATACGTGTGGTTCAAGTGTTGAGGAGTCACTTCCTGAATGATGCCTCTCTGTATGATCCGGTATTCCTCCAGTATATCTGACCTGAGCCTGCAAGGGGAAACACCTTGATCACGTTTATTCGGAATTGACAAAAGCTTAAGTGCTAAGACATTTTTGTGCACTTTAGGAAGAAACGAAAACAACAGAAAACAGCAGTGACTCACTGTGAGCCGCTCATCTCCAGTGAAGTCATCAGCTCCTTATTGCCACCATAATTCACAAACCACTGCACGTTGGCTTTGAGGTTCTTCTCATAAGGGAAAAACACCTCACAGGTCAGATTGTGAGGTTGACCTGGGAAAAAATAAACTAGCAATTAGCTCTAACATGTCGGAAACATTGAACCAAAGCACAGTTTTTACACTCACCCATTTCTACTTTTTCTGTCATGTTGGCGAAAGGATACACCATCCTGGGAGGATGACTGGCTGTTATGTGAGCTGGTTTATTGTTGGGAAAAAAGACATTCATTTATTTTGTGATTAAGGCCAGGTTTGGCATTAAAATGTGTATGACAAAAGAAAACTCACCCACACTTACCTACGACAGTGACTTTCACTGCCCTCCTGAACGTCCACGTGATTCCTTCTTCCTCGACTCGTCGGTCACAGAAATACAATCCGTTGTCATATTTGCCTTTGACTTCACAGAGAAGTAACTGACCGTCCTTCACGCAGAAGTCCCTTCTCAGCTCTGACACCGATACGTTTCCCTGCGGGAAGACGAAACACATTTGTGTCCCTCTCTTTGGCCTCACTCTGCAGTGTGTTTATAAAGAGTTTGTCTGTGCGCGGGCCTCACCTTGTACCATGTAACATCTCTGTTGTCACTGCAGTTGTGTCCGGGACAGAGGATGGATCCTCCGACGTTGTTCAGGAGCTCCACACTGCCCTCTTCAGGCTGGAAACATCGCAAACTGCTTCTCTCCACCACCTGGAGGTGTAAGAACAACTTGCTGCCACTGCACAGCAGGAAAATGAATGTGACTCATGTTCAATAAACTGGAAGTTAACACATTGTTGTATTCTGATGAATAAGGAAAAAAAAATATTTAAAAAAATGACTAATTACTTCTACTTCTCCTTTACATTCACATTTATGCATTTAGCAGACACTTTTATGGCGTAGAAAAAAATACCATAAAAAAACACTGTTCACATAATAAAAATATGAAGGCTTACCTCTTTACACACACGTACTGTCCTGAGTGTTTAACATCAGCAGTGAAGACCTCTCCACAGCCAAAGGATGTATTATCCTCAACTGGTCCGTGTCCTCCAGTCCTGAACCACAGGTTGTTCTGTGTTGACTGGATGCAGGGCATCATAAAGTTCTCTCCCTCCACGGCTCTGTAGTGAAGATGTCCTGCTGCAGCCACTGCTCAGGTCAGGTTGGTAAACAGGAAATAAGGCGAGACAATTTTTCATTGAAATAAGACTGACCTCTGACAGCTAATTGTAACAGCAAAAATATTTGATTCTAACAATAATTAGGAATACGAATTACAGTATGAAAAATGAGACACAATCACCTGGTACTTTCATCTGGTAGGTTCCTACACAGCAGGTCTCTGAGACGACAGGAAGGATGAGAAACAACAGGAATTGTCCGGTTTGCATCATGTGAATCTACACTTAAAAAAGGTTTGCATCATGTGAATCTACACTTAAGAAACAACAACAACAAAAAAACTCTTATTAGCTTAGTCATGATTCTGAAATAAACAAACAGGATAAATGGGAAAGACTAAAAGCTCGAAGAATTAACACAAATGTTGTGTGTCATAAAAACATCCCAGATACAAAGTTTGAGAAAATATAATGTATATATACTGTATATACATATTCCCCTTAAACAAATTTTAACTATTTACTATTGATTTTTTTATTGAAATATATAAATAAATAAAAATGTATGTATATATTTCAATTTCATTATATCACTGT